TGCCTAAGGAACGTTGTTTGCTTTCTGATCCCGTGGCGAGAGACGAAAGGTGAAGGAGTAAGGATTTGATCTTCTTCAAAGAGGGACTGAACTGAAAGGGGAAAAGCCCAAATGAAAGAAAGCAGAAAAGGAATAAGGGAGGTTGCAGGCAGTCCTTAGAAGGCAGAGCAACACGGGAGAGAAGAAACGGAGTAACAAAATGCTGATTGCAAGATCAAATCGCTGGGGAAACTCACAGCCAAGTCAGAGAATAACCCTCCCTCCCCACAGCCTGGTTAATTTCATCCCGGTGCTTTTCACCATCCAAAGCTTGCTTGTTCCCTTTTTAGAATCAAACCTGACTCTTCCAGGTGTAGGTATTTCAATGAAATATTCCCTCCGAATCTCCTTAGGAGATCGTCAGTTACGGGAGGTGGAACTCAACGTGTTTGGAAGGCACCAGCTGAGGGATGAACCATGAACATTAAATACAATCAAGGAGCACTTCCCCCCTCTACAAAACACAACCCCAGAGCAAATTAACATATGATGACCGGAAGCAAAAACTTATGATGACCGTATGATGACCGGAAGCAAAAACAGGGGCTACAATCTTCTTCTCAGCAGACAAACTCAACTGAGGTGAAACAGGACAATAAGAGGACTCACCAGCTGCCTTTGTTTTGGTGGGAGGGCAGGAGGTGGGGCCAGATCCTGGCCAGAGTCTGCGCTGCTAAAGGAGTCATTGAATCCATACACCTCCATCAGATGCTTATTCTTCTGTTGGTAGATGTGTTCGTTCTGCGGTGTTTGGTAAAACATGGAAGGTTGTGGTTCAGAGTAATCTTCTACAAACTGCATATAGGCCAACACTGGAACAGAGAAAGGACATCTGGGGGTCACTGTCTTGATGAGATGTTTGGAGAACTTTCTCTCCCTCTTCCTGTCCCCTGGTTGGGTTGATGGATTCAGAGAGGCACAGAAGGAAAACTCAACTGGCCTTGCACCAGCTTGTGTGTCCTAAATTATGGGTCAAATGCTACAAGTAGGAGCCAAGGGGGTGCAGTTGGGTTGCGCAGTTTCCTTCTATAGAACTTCCTGGGCTTGGTAGTTTTTGACTTAGTGAGGAACTCATTCAACTTGTGTGTATAATTACTCCAGGGATAAGGAGGTCAAAGTGAGATTGGTTTCCCATCACCCATCTTACTCACCAAATGAAGGTATGTTAGATAAAGAAACAGCAATGATACACATGTATCTGCCAATCTTAAAGTGTGTGGACCAACTCCCAGAATTCTCAAGCGTCGTAGAGAATTCTGGGAGCTGATGTATGTGCAGGAGTTTGTAGTCCAATACCTTAAACCCAACCAAAAGCTATGTTGGCTAGACATCATGGAATTTAAAGTCCAACCCTTCTGGAAGGCACCAGGGTTTACATCTGGTAGCTGATGCAACCCACCACTGCTGGAGGACCACCATGAAGTGCTGCTCCGACCACTGTTCCTCTATGGAGAACCACTTCATGGTGGTCTCCTAGCAGTGGTGGGTTGCATCAACTACCAGATGTGGACACAGAAATCTGGACCACCACTGGAGGGCGGCAAACACAGTTTGATGTTTGAGAACTTCTCTTGGCTACCTTCTAGTGGCAGTTCTAGCTGAAGCAGTCTGCCGTTTTTCCTGGATGCAGGTCCACCCCACCCATTGTGTCACCCTAAGCCATCATCGAGGTTCCTGCTGGTCCTGCAGCAAATCACAACTAAATTTGATTTTTTTAAAGCCCAATGGCTTAGCTGGGGAGGGGTCTTTCTGCTTGAAGGCCCAAAGATGGCCACCACTCCTGCCTCAATACTCTGTCACTGAACCTTGCTTTGCAAACAGGATCGGTTGGGGTCTTACTCTGCACGAAGCCCAAGTCAAATAAAGCACCAAAGTAATCTAAATAATAATAAATAAATGAGAATCAAACTCAACCAATCCAATGTAAATATCCTTCAATGGCTTAACTGTTAACCCAGATGGTAAATTCTCATCGGGGTTTGTAAAACAGGCTCGCACACTTTCGCCTCTTTTCTTAGGATTATGAGCTCCCTTGAATCAAGTCCACTAACTGCTAAGCAAACATCCAAACAAGCCAGGATTAAGTGGGATTCGCCATGTGATTAAACCAGCAGCTAAAGGCGGAGGGGGGAGGCAAATCTGGGGGCCCAGTGCAGAAAATGACACTAAGCTAGCTAAAAAATTTTTTTTTTTAAGTCCTGGGTAATCATACAATCTGTGTGTTTCTTGAAAGGGAAATTCTCTAAAATTAAACCGCGGGTTGTAGTCCTGTCAACATCGGGGTAATCACTCAGATCTTGGCAGTGAATCATACATTTATCTAGCTGGTCGTAATTCTGCGGGGGCGGGGAAGTTCCCCGTCATGGTTTCAAAAACACACAATGGGCAGGAAGTTTGGGGCTGCTCTTTGAAACGCTACGGATGGAAAGTAAAAGAGAAAGGGGTGGGTGGGGGAAAATACTCTAGCCTGAACTTCCTAAGACTTCTTTCTAACACCTCAAAGGTTTTATGATATGGCCCTGGAGACTTAGCTTGGCTGGCTTCAAACAAGGGTTGGACCAATTCATGGAAGTCCTGGGGATCAAGGGCTATCAGCCTTGATGGGAAGAGAACTATCTCTGAAGGCCATCTGCTGGGAGACTAGTGGGCTTCCTTGGGCAGTTGGTTGACCACTGTGTCAACAGACTGGGCCAGGGGTCCAATCCAGCAGGGCACGGCTGATGTTCTTATGTTCCTTAAAGCAGGAAGGCACCTCCACCTTTTTGTGACCCTTGGAAGTACCTCTGACCACAGTGACTGAAAGTGTGGCATGCTTCTGTCCCATTCTCCAGTTCTCAGGGGTTACAGCAGTAGCCGAACGTATCAGGATCAAGGGAGCACTTACTGTGTTTGTTTTTTTTTTCGGGCAGGGGAGGGGGCTCCTCGGATTCACTGGCCGCATTGGGACTGGCAAAATCCGTGAGGAATTCAACAGGGGGTGGTGGTTTCCCAGGCTGATAGGGCAGCACAGCCGCAAAAGGGGTGGAGAACACCCAGGGCAAGAGCGGAGGAATGTGTAAGTCCTCCTCCGAAATGTTGTCATATTGCGAAGGATGTCTCTCCAGCAGGACCCGACAGCTGGGAACGTCAAAAGCAGAGGCTGCTGTTCCTCTCCTCTTCTTCTCCGGGAGAGCCGGTGGGATCTCAGCTGCCGGGGCAGCTGTTGAGGAGATACAATGCTCTGGCAGCTGGAAAGAGTGTCCGAGAAACGGGGAGGCGGATTCCCGCAGGCACTCCGGCAAAGGGCTGAGCACGCCATGTCCTGGCTGGGGGATCTGGTCAGCATTTGAGAGGTCCTGCTGCAAGAACTCGTAATCAGGATCATAATGATCTGAAATGAAAGCAAAGAGAGGGAAAAATACCATGGGACAAAGCACGAAACAGGCAGAGAAGAGAACCTACAAGTCAAGATGGTATCAAACATGGGCAGATTCAAACTACCAGGAGATGCCACCATTTTGGAGAGGGGGTCAGGAAACAAAGAGATGTGAATAAAAAGTTAGAGCCATTGGCCTATTTTGCACTCTCCAAATATAGATTCTATGATCCCATCCAATATTTCTGGCCCACCAATGGGCTGTTTCAAGCGGCAATGGGTGCATTATGGGAAGATCTGTGGGACCAGGTTGGGGACAGAGTGTGTGATGGAGGTCTTGGATGAGGAGGTTCAAGATCATGGGGAGAAGCATCTCCCCAGCCCACAGACTGAGCGTGTGAAAGCAAAGAGGATGAGACTGGCACCACCCTAAGGAATTTAGTTGCAGACTTTGGGAGTTAGAGTTAGTCTGGCGAGATTCTGTCTAGCAGGTGCAAGCTAATAAAGAACAGAGCAATTCCAGAACCGTCTCGTGGAGTTCCTTGGGCTGAACCTGACAGAGTGTCCTGGACAAAATGCACCTACATGGCTGCCAAAAATGCTGGCTGGGGAATTCTGGGAGCTGAAGTCCACATATCTTAAAGCTGATAAGGTTGAGAAACCCTGCTCTGGGATGATAGAGAACAGGTCTTCATCAGCTTGTGTGACACCCCCTTTCACATATCTGAAGAGTGCTATCATATCTCTTGCAGTCTTCTCAAAACTAAGCATACCCCATTCCCCTTAATCTCTCCTTGGAGAACCCGGTTTCCATCATTTTCAACGGTCTTCTTTGAACCTCTTCCAGTTTCTCTCCATCTTTTCTTAAACTGTGGGGCCCAGAACGGCCCTCGGTACTGAGGGTAGGGTCTGATTAACACAGAGGAGGGTGGAATATTGACTTCCCATGGTTTGGAAATCATATTTCCAACAATGCAGTGGCCAAGGGTAGCAGGAATGCAGCCCCAGACATCCTCATTCTCGGATAATAATTGCAATCTCCGATCCCCATCACGAATGGGGTTCAATGGGTTACTGCACCTGTCGGCTTAAGGTAAATACGTGCTCAGCCAATCAATGGCCAAGAGGAGATGCCCCAAGTCTTTACCTAATGTTTCACAGCTTGTGTTGTGAGAGCACTGCCCGCTGTCACAGTCCAATGAGGAGAGTTGTTCATCAGATTTGCTGAGTTTCCCCATGCTGCTGTACGGCGACAGGCGGGGGGATTCTCCTCCGTAAGACTGGCTGCCCCCCGACAACCTCCTCTGGGGATAGCCATCGTTTTCAAAATCCTGGGGGTGGGAAGGAGAAGGGGTATGAGTTAGGCTGACTCGTTTAAACAACTGATTCCTTTCGGATCCTTGACAGAGGCCCTCTCCCTATGTTTGCTGTCATTCCTCTTTTTAGCTAGGCATGCCAAAAAAAAAAAAAAAATGGAATAGATGAAAATGAAATCCTGTTCAACAGAAAGACAACTCCTTTTTGGTGCTAGGCACAAATCTGTAACACACTTCAAAACTGAGCATTATTAAAAACCAGAAAGCCCAGAAATATGGGGGACAGCATTAAGGCAAAGCAGCTGAGAAAAGAATAGATTGAGAGAGAGACAGGAAGGCATCTTCAATCTGGCATCTTCTAAAGGCACAATTCTTAGTCATGTGTTCCATTGATAGCCAGGCTGCTAAAAGATTAGCCTGGGTCGCCACGAACGGTATTACACAAGAGAGAATCATTTATCTTCAAACAGCACGGCTGGGATTTGTGGAGGTCAATGAAGCTTTTTCAGCTGCCCCAAAAATCCCAATCACACTTTTCACAGTTGCCCAGTTAAGAATACACGTTTTATCCTGCTGTTCATTTCCCTCCCATTCTGTTCCTTATTTATAACTGGTTTCCCTCCAGAGATGCGCCAGCCTCCTATTTTCAAAGGGGGCTTGAAAACCCATCTTTTAAAAGAAGCTGAGTCCCAAATGTTGGGTCTTCTGGGATCCCTGCCTTCTTCTTTCCCTGTAAGATTTCCCGTCCTGAAAAACGAGCACAGACACTTGCAAGCTGTTGCTTGTCAAAGGGGACCAAATTAGTAAATTAGTCCAGTGTTTCTCAACCTTGGCAACTTTACGATGTGTGGACTTCAGGTCCCAGAATTCTCCAGCCAGCATGCTGGGAGTTGAAGTCCACACATGCTGGCTGGGGAATTCTGGGAGTTGAAGTCCACACATCATAAAGTTGCCAAGGTTGAGAAACAGTGAATTAGTCAATGGGAAGATCTTGGAAGCAAAACAGGACGAGTGTTCTTACAACACGCTTCAATCTTCTCGATATGAATGGGGCCACAGATGGGTGCATTTTAAATGTCTGAATCCAGAAAGGAAGTTGTTATTTTGGAAAAATGGAACCAATGGAAAATGCAGTGGCAGGAGGAGATGATCTTACATTTGTACGTCAAGTTCGGTACCCGAATTTTGTACTAAGGAGAGAGATATTATATGGACACACCATCCTACCTGGACAGCTTTTTGATGGATATGGCTGGTAATTTACCTGTTTGTTGATTCCAATGGGTAAACTGGAGCCACTGGTTGTCCGGCTCATGGGGGCTACGATAGCCACTCGTGTAGGAGATGGTGCTGACTGACGTTTCTTAGGTGGCAGGGCAGGAGGGAGGCTGCATGAGATGAAGAACAAGAAAAATATAGAAAGAACAGCGAACATACCCCATGAGTGAATCATAACAAACCACAGGAGTTCAGAACAGGCAGACCAGCTTCTCTGAGAAACAACAGGCTTAGGAATTCCAATACCATTCCCAACACAAGGGCCAGAACTTCATGGAGATCCACCAAAGGCTGGTACACCAACAGCAGCCCATTTGCAACACTATTTCTCTGCCCCAAACATCACTAGCAAGACAGGAACAATTCTGGTGTACTAATTACCCTACGAAACTAGCATCCCACCTTGATTTTAAACTTGGTTTGTAGCCTGAGTTGAAACCATGTTTTTGAGTCTGGGCTGAAACTCCTATCTGAGCTTCCACATCAAGTTGATCCATGGTTTGTTTGAGGCACAGTTTGCTGGACAAGCCAGAATGACTGTGTTCACACATGCTGAACCAAGACCAAACAAGCCCCATTGCAACTTGTGAACCACATTTTATTTAACCACAGTTTATTGAATAAACTCAACGTTGAACGTTCACTTTGCTGATGTTGGAAAAAGAGAATTAAAAACCAGGGGCATAGAACCAGGATATGCTGGTCTAACCCTACTTCATCCTGCAGGATGTAAAAACTGAAACTGAACTGGGCACAGTAGTGACACTGTGGCTATAATAGCTGATTTTAAGAACACTCTTTTCTTGATATCCAGAGGGGGGTTAACAATCAATTACCCCCTCTTGAATCCAGATTCAGATCACATGGAACCATAAGTGGAGTCAATTACTCCACAACAAGCCTGGGATATTCTTTGAACATATGCAGTTGCTCCTTACCTGTTGAATTAATTAAAATTAAAATTCAATTAATTCCATGGGTTGCAAACAAATGAAACTCATGTTCTGGGTTTGTGCATCAAACTTTGGCTAAAAGTAAAACATCTCAGAAGACCTAAACACAGTTCCTAAGGAAGGGGCGTCCACCTTTTTCCAGGGACGGACGGACATATCCAACTGTATTTTGAAGGCTCCATAGAAATGCTACATTTGATTCCCCCAGCTTTCCATAGCCTTATAACTAAATTTAGAAGATTGAGTTCCTCTTCAATCATTGTTGTAATCAGGTCTCTCTTTCATCCCATTCAGAATCAGAATTTGATGACAACATGGGGAGGTTTCTGAAGGTCCTATCCAATGCTTATGAGGGGATCCTCCGACTGCATCACTCTTTTGTAAGGGGGCGGATAGGTCAAGGGGTCTCGATCCTTCTAGGGGTGCCATAGGAGCAAATGTCTCAGTTTCTGGGGCATTCCAGCTACTTTTGAGGGCTGAGAACATGGGCACGGCTGGAAATTTTTCAAACCTCCCACGCTTTTCTAGCAAACCACACCGCGGTGCTCGTACGTTTCCTAGCATACTTCAAACAAAAAGGCGAGATGGAAAACAGGAGGGTTTTCTCTGCTCCCATTCACTGGCTGACACACACCCTGTAAATTTAATGCAGGTGGTTAGAGGGTCTCTAACTTTCTCTCCCCTTAACCCTGACCTCAGGTTGCAAATCAGCTGCAGAGCACCGTCCATGCCTGCAATTTTGCACGTATTGTTTCTATGTCCATTCTCCAGTGAAATTCATGAAGAATAAATAAATCTACAGTGAGACAAAGGACAGCTGGCCCATTGCCCTTTGCCAAGTAGTTTCTACAATCACCATCGCGGTGAGTCAGGGTGAGAGAACTCAACTGGATTGGGATTCTACGAGAGAGGCGGCCCTGTAAAATTCTGCAAATTAACAAATAAATAGAGCAATTCTTTGGGAACTCCCCCAATAAAAGTAGATCAGCCCTCCAGATCCTTCCCCCAGGGCTGAGGAGGAAAGCTGGGAAATATTTTATGGCAGTTCTGTAGACTTTTAGAAATCATAACTACAATTGCCAACATCACTTTAGTAGTTGATGCAAACAATAGAGCTGGTGAGACAGGAACTCATCAATCCAGATGAGGTTTCCCCAAGGTTGGCAGAAGACAATGAATTATCCGTGAACTCAGAAAGACAGAAGGAAGAACTTCACTCCTGTGTATGATGGTTGGGGTGGGGCAGACCTTCTGCTTGACTATGGCTTCATTTTACTTTGCAGTGAAGAGACCGGTCTGTGTTGCGTGTGAACCTTCTGCCCCAAAGCAAGCAATTGGCTAAAGGGTTAAGTGTCTGAAGGATCAAGCTTTGCTGCTGAACAACTGGAAATTTTAATTCCACAATTTCTTGAAGATTCCAAACTTCCCACCCTGTTTAATCAATAATGCTCAGTGGTGGCCATGGATCCCGCTCCCCTCCCCATTGCTTTAGACCAGTTCATCTCCTCAATAAAATCCAAAATTCACTGTGATCCACAATCTGGTACGTAACCATATGGACAAGATGGAAAGGCTAACCCCAAAGGTGCATTCTTCACTCAGTTAATTAGAGGCTGTTAGGGTCAGGATGGGGAGGAACTAGAAAGAGAGTGACCATCATTTAAATATCTTCTGGGCATTGTTTAAATATCTTTTAGCAAGTATGTAAGATGAGGCGGTTTAAGTCTGAATATGCTGATGACTTTAGCTTGTTACAAGCTGACCCGGTGAAGGATATACTCTGAAAACAGCCCCTATTTAGCATCAGGAAATTAAAGGGCAAGATTTGACTTCTTATGGATTTATCTACCTGTTTTCAGCGACCCGAATGCAAGGAAGGGGCGGTTTCGGTGGGGCAATCTCTTCGTCTGTGGTATCCACCAACACTTCTGCTGTCGGAGTTATCCCTGCCGTCTTGTTGAGAATCTCTATCTCACGATCTGTCAAGGGAAGCTCCAACTGGCTGGAAAAGGGAAAAACTTAGTTGACCCCCCAGGTAACACACTGATAAGGCTGCGTCGCATTTGATGCAGCACGGAGAGAGCGTGTGCGGCACCAGGTGGCCAGTGAAAGCTGGTGTTGGGCCCAATCCTTCTTTAAAAAAGAATACACGTCTTTCCAACTCATGCAAAGATTTCAGCTTAGCTTTTCTCTTCTCAGGTCCTTGAGCATTTGTTTATTTAGATGGTTGTCTCTTTGGACATGCTGGCTGGACATTTAGATAGGTGTAGGTAAGATGGATGGATGGATGGATGGATGGATGGATGGATGGATGGATGGATGGATGGAGGGGTCAGTGTTTCTCAACCTTGTCAACTTTCAGATCTGTGGACTTCAACTCCCAGAATTCCCCAGCCAACATCAGTAGACAAGATAGGCAAAAATAGAGATAGACACAGACAGAGAGAAGATATAAATGGAGAGGATGATAGATACAGGTGATATAGCTAGAGCAACAGAGAGGATAGATGAATGGATAGATGAAAGACAGACTTGAAAGGAGATAGAGATAGAAAGTGAGGTAGGTAGATACTCGCAGAATGGAAGGTTGCCAGGCACTCATGCCTGCCTTTTGTGAAACCCTCCACGGGGAGGAGGTAGTATCACTGGACCCATATGTGATGCCCCAGGACCACAATGTACCCAACTCTTTGGAAGAAATTCCTCTGAACCTTTTGTCTAATGGGGAGAGACTGCTGATCTTTTCCCTTGTTTCTTCTGTCTCATTTTCATTCTTGCTGTAAATCATAAGGGCCAGGGGGATGGTCCAGCTTAACGTTCATCAGGTAGTCATGGTACTCACCTGTCTGCTGTACACACAGGTAAGCTGGGCTTGACTGGGCTTGTGGGAGAGGGGTGTTCTTCCTTCTCATTCGTGAGCTTGACCAGCTCCTGGTCAACAATGGAATATGAGAAAAAATATATATATAAATTTGTTGTATCCATCTTATTCCCCCAGAGACACCATCCTCTCCTCACTCCCCCCTTCAAAACTCATTTACTTATTCCTTATTTCACCTGGTACAATTGTCCATCCCAAAAGCTCATACTTCAGAATGGAGATCAGATGAGAGAATGAATGAATGAATGAATGAATGAATGAATGAATGAATGAATGAATGAATGAATGAA